GAGACAAGACAAGGACACAAGAGGCTAAGCAGGGGAGATAAGGGTAAGGAGGAGAGGAGAAAAGTGCGACCGCCTTCGCCAAGAGCCAAAAGAGTATTTAAACTCAAGATTGTGTAACTTAAATTACCCCCAGAAAATCAAAATTCCCTAATGTCAATAATGAGACCGACATATGAACTACTTATAGATTCTGGGCCAGAGTGCCCCGGGCACAACCTATATTCTGCAGCTGTTCCTGACATCTTCTATTCTGCTTCGGAGTTCTGGTTACTTGACTTTATAGAAATACTATACACCATGAACACAATGAGTATTTAAACTTGAATGTGTCTGTTAACTGATATTACAATATAAATATTATTATAAGTATTGTACAGTGTAGAAGCAAATTTAAATGTAACTTTATAACTTTATAACATTTATAGAGTTGGTTATACCTTTGGTAGTTACGTGTTTTGATATTTACATGTTATGTTTACATATGCATGTTCAAAGCAGTAATAAGTATGTGTTATATCTACCTAGTTGTTTTCCCTGCATTGATCCGAGTATAGCTTCTGAGAGGCCAGTCAAGTATTCATGAGGGTGGTAAACAGGAAGTGTTGGGTTGTTGTTGCTGTGTGCTGAGAGCAATGAGGCTTCTAAAAAAGTTATCCGTCTTCATCTTGCTGTTTCTAATCATTCAGAGTGATTCCAAACCACATAGCAAACCCTCACGTTACAGGTAATATACAAAATTAAAGTCCACTTTTCTCTTGTTGATCAACTGAAATTTTCCCACTTATTTCAAGCTGAGAAAACAATATAACAGAAAAGGAGCTGGAGATCATTATGACCCAAAACCTTACGGTTGCTTTGCTCCATCTGGAGTAAACAAAATAAAACAGGGTGGTACTTTGGAAAGTCTGTTGTCCAGTAGAGGGGACTTGGGGGATTTGCAGAATACATGGGTAGGGCCCGGGCCATTCAGGCCAAGAAATGTCCTGAGAGAGCAACTATCTTGAAGCTAGTTTAGGTATTAGCTGTTCAAAGTCTGCTCGCTCTGCCAAATAGCCACTCACTTTATCAACAAGCAGTAAACTTCAGTGCAGCAACATTCAGGTCGACATTCGCTGCTTTGCAGTGTCTAATAGTTCAGCTGCAGGATTCCACTCTCTTTTGCATAAGCTCCTCTGATTGTCTCCCTGTGACTGCTCTGACACAAAAACTTCTAAACTTGTGTCTAGTTCACTTCTACTGGGACAAAACTGCAATTAACGTGTTTAGTTTTAGCACCTTTATTTTTTTTAACAAAATAAATAATAAAATTAAATAAATACACTCTTATATGCTTGATATTTTAACCATGAACTTAGAATGCCATCACACAACAAAGCATGTTATTAACTCTCTTTAATTTTGTAGGATTGATGTATTATGAACTGAATATTTGCAGCAGTTTTCCATTTTCTGTGAGTTTTCTTTTGTTTGTTTGTTTTTTGGCTACAATAAAGAACAACTCCACACAAACAGCTGACAGACCCACAAACTCGTCTGTGTATTATATATTTATGAGCTCGTTTTTTATTTAATGCCAGTAACATGTTTCAATAAGGTTTGGACAACAAAAGATTGAAAAAAGTAAATTCCATAAAGTCATGTGTTGACTTTCAAGCTGTGTTGATATAATGAGTGAATGATTTGATCTTTTCACTGCCTGCTGTGTTTCCTCGACTCCTGAGCAAAGATAAAGAGTCAGTTCAGACCTGCAGTTGGTCCTCGTGGTGTTTTGAACTTGAATTCAGCCTGATTTGTTTTTCATGTCTTCTCCTCCATCATCAGT